TTGTGAGACGCAGAGTAGGTGAACGGATGATCTCCGCATGTGTGGTTCCCACTGTGAAGCATGGAGGGGGAGGTGTGATGGGGTGAAAGTGCTTTGCTGGTGACACTGTCTGTGATTTATTTAGAATTCAAGGCACACTTAACCAGCATGGCTACCACTGCATTCTGTAGCGATACACCATCCCATCTGGTTTGGGCTTAGTGAGGCTATCATTTGTTTTTCAACAGGACAATGACCCAACACACCTCCAGGCTGTGTAAGGTCTATTTTACCAAGAAGTAGAGTGATGGAGTGCTGCATCAGATGACCTGGCCTACACAATCCCCCGACCTCAACCCAATTGTATCTCATACAAGATGGCGCTCTAACCAATTGTGCTATTATGGGTGTTTGTTCGCGTTATTTGTAATTTATTCTGTACATAATGTTTCTGCCACCGTCTCTTATGACCAAAAAGAGCTTCTGGATATCAGGTCAGCGATTACTCACCTCGTATTGGACGAAGATTTTTTCTTCAAGAGTCGGATGCGAAGAGTATTCTACAGACACCCGACAAGGCCCAAATCCCTGTCATTCGCATGAGAAAGAGACTGAGATATCGTGGACGTAGGTCGGGGTGCCTTGTAAGGATACGACGGCGAGCGAGTAAACTGCCTCTTCCATCAATCCTATTAGCCAATGTTCAATCATTTGAAAATAAATTGGATGACCTAAGATCAAGGTTATCCTACCAACGGGACATTAAAAACTGTAATATCTTATGTTTCACTGCGTCGTGGCTGAACGACGACATGGATAACATACAGCTGGCGGGATATACGCTACATCGTCAGGATAGAACGGCTGACTCCGGTAAGACAGGGTGGCGGTCTGTGTATATTTGTAAACAACAGCTGGTACATAAAATCTAATACTAAGGAAGTCTCGAGGTTTTGCTCGCCTGAGGTAGAGTATCTCATGATATGCTGTAGACAACACTATTTACCAAGAGAGTTTTCATCTATATTTTTCGAAGCTGTCTATTTACCACCACAAACCGATGCTGGCACTAAGATTGCACTCAATGAGCTGTATAAGGCCATAAGTAAACAGAAAAATGCTCATCCAGAGGCAGCGCTCCTAGTGGCCGGGGACTTTAATGCAGGGAAACTTAAATCCGTTCTACCTAACTTCTACCAGCATGTTAAATGTGCAACCAGAGGAAAACAAACTCTAGACCACCTTTACTCCACACACAGAGACACGTACAAAGCTCTCCCTCGCCCTCCATTTGGCAAATCTGACTATAACTCTATCCTCCTGATTCCTGCTTATTAGCAAAAACTAAAGCAGGAAGCACCAGTGACTCGGTTAATAAGGATGTGGTCAGATGACGCAGATGCTAAGCTACAGAACTGTTTTGCTAGCACCGACTGGAATACGTTTCGGGATTCTTCCGATAGCATTGAGGAGTACACCACATCAGTCACTGGCTTCATCACTAAGTGCATCGATGACGTCATCCCCACAGTGACCGTACGTACATACCCCAACCAGAAGCCATGGATTACAGGCAACATCCGCACTGAGCTAAAGGGATGAGCTGCTGCTTTCAAGGAGAGGGACTCTAACCCAGACGCTTATAAGAAATCCCGCTATGCCCTCCGACGAACCATCAAACAGGCAAAGCGTCAATACAGGAATAAGATTGAATCGTACTACACCGGCTCTGATGCTCGTCGGTTGTGGCAGGGCTTGAAAACTATTACAGACTACAATGGGAAGCACAGCCGCGAGCTGCCCAGTGACGCAAGCCTACCAGACGAGCTAAATCACTTCTATACTCGCTTCGAGGCAAGCAACACTGAAGCATGCATGAGAGCATCAGCTGCTCCGGATGACTATGTGATCACGCTCTCCGTAGCCGATGTAAGTAAGACTTTTAAGCAGGTCAACATTCACAAGGCCACAGGGCCAGATGGATTACCAGGACACGTGTACTCCAAGCATGCGCTGGCAAACTGGCAAGTGTCTTCACTGACATTTTCAACATGTCCCAACAGATCCAAAGATGATGCAATCTCTATTGCACTCCACACTGCCCTTTCCCACCTGGACAAGAGAAACACCTACGTGAGAATGCTATTCATTGACTACAGCTCAGCATTCAACACCATAGTGCCCTCAAAGCTCATCACTAAGCTAAGGACCCTGGGACTAAACACCTCCCTCTGCAACTGGATCCTGGACATCCTGACGGGCCGCCCCCAGGTGGTAAGGGTAGGTAACAACACATCTGCCAACGCTGATCCTCAACACAGGGGCCCCTCAGGGGTGCGTACTCAGTCCCCTCCTGTATTCCCTGTTCACCCATGACTGCATGGCCAGGCACGACTCCAACACATTCATTAAGTTTGCTGACTACACAACAGTGGTAGGCCTGATCACCGACAATGATGAGACAGCCTATAGGGAGGAGGTCAGAGACCTGGCTGTGTGGTGCCAGGATAACAACCTCTCCCTCAACGTGATCAAGACAAAGGAGATGATTGTGGATTACAGGAAAAAAAAGAGGACTGAGCACGCCCCCATTCTCATCGACGGGGCTGTAGTGGAACAGGTTGAGAGCTTCAGTTTTCTTGGTGTCCACATCACCAACAAACTATCATGGTCCAAACACACCAAGACAGTCGTGAAGAGGGCACGACAATGCCTATTCCCCCTCAGGAGACTGAAAAGATTTGGCATGGTCCTCAGATCCTCAAAAAGTTATACAGCTGCACCATCAAGAGCATCCTGACTGGTTGCATCACCGCCTGGTATGGCAACTGCTCGGCCTCTTGTACTGATTTTGCTTCCAGAGACAGTTTGGAACTCAGTAGTGAGTGTTGCAACCGAGGACAGACAATTTCTACGCGCTTCAGCACTCGGCGGTCCGTTCTGTGCGCTTGTGTGGCCTACCACTTCGCGGCTGAGTCGTTGTTGCTCCTAGACGTTTCCACTTCACAATAACAGCACCTATAGTTGACATGGGCAGCTCTAGCAGGGCAGAAATTTGACCAACTGACTTGTTGGAAAGGTGGCATCCTATGACGGTGCCACGTTGAAAGTCACTGAGCTCTTCAGTAAGGCCATTCTACTGCCAATGTTTGTCTAAGGAGATTGCATGGCTGTGTGCTCTATTTTATACACCTGTCAGCAACGGGTGTGGCTGAAATAGCCGAATCCACTAATTTGAAGGGGTGTCCACATACGTTTGTAGATATATAGTGTACATGGTTTTGTTCCCTTCTTGAGAGCCTGCCTTACCCATACAAACACATACTCACACACACACACAGGGCTGAAACCTTCGTCAGGGGGCGGTGGCTGGCTGCTCACACTAAGCGCAAACTGTCTCTGTGAGAACCTTTAGTCTTAACTGGCCATGAGTTCGGTCCTCGTCACAGGACCCACATAGTTCTCCCCTCTAACCGACTCAGACAGCAGATACTGGGGGACAGGAAGGTGGCTTGACTCTGGGGCTCCACACTGCAGTAGTGAAACACTGAAAAACTGCATTGTTGGTTAAGGGCTTGTAAGTAAGCATTTCGCTGTAAGGTCTACACCTGTTGTATTCGGCGTATGTGGCAAATACAATTGGATTTGATTTGATTTGAATTGAGATGGTTTGAGATGAGTTGGACTGCAGAGTGAAGGTTCGATTCCTATGGGTGGCCAGTATGAAAAAATATAAAATAATAATAATGTATGCACTCACTAACTGTAAATCGCTCTGGATAAGAGCGTCTGCTAAATGACTAAAATGTAAAAGCAGCCAACAAGTGCTCAGCATATGTGGAAACTCCTTTAAGACTGTTGGAAAAGCATTCCAGGTGAAGCTGGTTGAGAGAATGCCAAGAGTGTGCAAAGCTGTCATCAAGGCGAAGGCAGGCTATTTGAATAATCTGAAATATAAAATATATTTAGATTTTCTTAACACTTTTTTGGTTACTACATGATTCCATATGTGTTATTTCATAGTTTTGATGTCTTCACTATTATTCTACAATGTAGAAAAGAGTAAAAATAAAGTGTCCAAACTTTTGACTGATACTGTATGTATATATATATGTATGTGTGTGTATGGTCGGTATGCAGTGGTATGTAATGGGTGAGTGTAGGGCTGGGACTGGTGGGAGCAATACACTGGTACTGTGTCTGGCCTAATTAGAATCATATGTGCTCACTGTAGTTTACGGTGCGGAGCGAGGGATGTCCAGGGAGTGAGAGCGGGATGGATCCAGGGATGACAGTGTGTGTAGAGAAGAATGGGTGTCGCAGTATAATGTAGTGGAGGAGAGAAAACAGATGTAGACTGACCGGTGAGTGTAAGTGACACAGGGCCTAGTGAGATATACGGCTGACGTGGTGCATGATGCTGCTCTGCTGTTGGGGAGAGATACGAGATAGGTTAAATAAATAGAGGACAGAGCAGGGGTGGCTAGGACTACTCTCCATCCCTGACTTCCTTGGTGGGATGCTGTCTTGTGTCATGTACTGTATATAGTGATGTCATTACAGCTGCAAATAAAACGACCTGTCCACTGACTTTGGCTCACGTCCCTGTCAGTCGTAAGTTGACGTTGATTTTATGACGGATGAATGGAGGACTGGCGAGAGGGAGGTTAAATGACTGGAGAGAAGGAGCATCATCAAGCCAATGGGGATCTGGGTTACTTGGAGAGAGCGATAGAGAGACAGAGAGGGAAATGGAGAGAGGGAGAGGTTGCTCTGTGTGGTTTTACCCCATCTCTTCTGCTTTTTCTTCTCACCGCCCACGTTTCATCTGCCTCTCCACACACCTTTCCACATTAGCACAGACGTCTGTTAGCATGGCAGGAGGATAACCATTATGTGAAGAAAGGGAGAAGTTAGAATGCTTCAGATATGATTCAGTCTCCCGGTAGGGTAGTAATTCTCTGCCTTGTCCAGAGACATCAAAAACTAGAGAAACATGGGAATGGGTGAATAAAAGTGATATGCTAGGTTATGGTACGGTTCAATATGATATGGTAAAGAAAGCTCTGGTCATTGCTAATGAATGCTTTGGTTTTCCTTCCCAGCTGAGATACCAGCATGGCCTGTCCACTCCAGACCTCCGCCAGACCCTGCCCAACCTCAAGAACTTCCTGGAGCATGGCCTTCTAGTCCAATGGTAAGTACCTGTAGAAGTCCACTCTCATTCTCCGTGTCTTAGTAGTATTAGGCCACCCCACATAGCACTCTTGCTTTCACTATCTCTACATCTTTTTCACTTCAGATGGTTTCAGTTGAAAATATTGGTGAACAAAGCAGTGTATGTTTCTTAGGGATCTTCAAAACCAGCCTAAGGAGTTCAGAGTTAAACTCCACATGCTTTTGAACTTACTGTTTGTTTGCAGCTATTTCATGGGGTCTGATAGACGTCAGACATTCATTCAGATCTCCTGAGCCTCAGGCCGCAGGCATTGAATGACCCCACCATAGAACCTGAGAATCAGCCCATAGTAGAGACTAGAGACTTTCCCGGACTACTGCCGCCGGTCCACCCATCACAGAACATTGACTTGAATGGGGATACCTGTTCTAGTAATTCTAATTCTATGACTCCGACTCCAACCATCCAGCACACAGCCCTATAAAAGGGAAAATTATCTTCTTTGATCTGCTCTGCTCTCCCAGGGTCAGCAAAAGGGGGAAATGTGTTTTACAACCTTAATTGAATAACCTTTTGTTTTGAAAGGAAAGAGGCCATGTTAAAGCAAAGCAATTGAATCCTTGCCTCCTCCATCTTCTCCTAATGGGAAGTGGAAGCCCTTAACCCTTTACACTCATGGGAATTTGCCTATATGGATAGGGCTACATTGAAATGTTTCTAACAGAATAAATATGAAAAGCAGATGCATAACCATGGTAGCAATTGAAAGGGAACAGATTGGAGGTTATGGGAATGTTATTAAACCAAAGGTGAGGACACAACAGTTCACCTGACACAAGACTGAATCCAAACATAAACTGTTGAGTTTATGTGCATTTTACATTTACTGTACTTTTTGCTGCATTTGTTGATAACAAAAATTGAAAATACTCTGGATACATTCAGTAACATGAAAAATGTGGGTAGGTGCAACATAAGACAAACATTTCTTACAAGGGTTTGAGTGAGTGGACTCTGGTGTCTCCAAGTGGCCACACACCTCTCCAAAGTGTCTTCAACTATAAGGTACATTTTTAAGCTCTCCTAGCTGTGCCGTTGAGGAACTAGATCAAGCACACTTGTAGTTGTTTTGTTTGGAACACAACCCTGCATCCTCGCCATCACACAATTGGGGCGCTATTTTAACGAACCTAACACAATTGTAAATCTAAGCGCAGGCGGTAGCGCTATAGGTTCAGGGGTGCTCGGCCATGGAAACCCATTTCATGAAGCTCCCGACGAACAGTTACTGTACTGATTTTGCTTCCAGAGACCGTTTGGAACTCGGTATTGAGTGTTGCAACTGAGGACAGACGATTTTTACGCGCTTCAGCACTCGGCGGTCCGTTCTGTGAGCTTGTGTGGCCTACCACTTCGCGGCTGAGTCGTTGTTGCTCCTAGATGTTTCCACTTCACAATAACAGCACCTACAGTTGACATAGGCAGCTCTAGCAGGGCAGAAATTTGACAAACTGACTTGTTGGAAAGGTGACATCCTATGACGGTGCCACGTTGAATGTCACTGAGCTCTTCAGTAAGGCCATTCTACTGCCAATGTTTGTCTAAGGAGATTGCATGGCTGTGTGCACTATTTTATACACCTGTCAGCAACGGGTGTGGCTAAAATAGCCAAATCCACTAATTTGAAAGGGTGTCCACATACTTTTGTTCCCGTCTTGAGAGCCTGCCTTACCCGTACAAACACATACTCTCATACACACACACAGGGCTGAAACCTTCGTCAGGGGCCGGTGGCTGGCTGCTCACACTAAGCACAAACTGTCTGTGTGAGAACCTTTAGTCTTAACAGGCCATAAGTTCGGTCCTCGTCACAGGACCCACATAGTTCTCCCCTCTAACCGACTCAGACAGCAGGTACTGGGGGACAGTGAAACACTGAAACAGGGAGGACATGCATTAAATTCTACTCTCCTTTTGCATGGAACTTATTTTATTGACCCTCCTCTCCACCATATCACTTCCAGTTGCCCCTGCCTGAAAAAGCCTCAATTCAGATACTATTTCCAGCGGAGGGGCCAAGCATATGAAATATGGACGCATAAAAATGCTGTGCGGCAGCTGCAGGGAGTTAACCGGTAGACTGTGAGAGGGAGAGAGGTTTGATATCCGTTCCCCTCTCCTCCCCTCTATACGGGGGTGGTGGTAGGGCGAGGGCATGTCCAAGGGAACCGTTTCCATCCATGAACTGTAGAGATGTTTCCCCCTCCATATATTGCTAATTCAGCATGTACAATAAGCTGACTAGGAGGGCTCCTCATGCATGGGTACATGGGCTTTATCCAGGGGACTTCATTGGGAAATATATGGGTGTGTTTAGGGTTTGTACTTTACAGGAGACTGTGTGTTTTCTTTAATGTTTCTACACTGATCCCTTCCTACTAAAACAGTTGCAAACAGAGTCAAGACTTCTGTAGATCCCAGTCACTGTAGACACAGGTGTATAGAAGTGGAAGGGCTTGTAAACCTAGCCCCCTAATGTTACAGAACCAAGCATGTGGTTAAGGGAGCCAGTTACTTTAGGGTGAATGGTAACTAAAATAGAGTGAGTGAAAAGAAAGTGTTAAACATTACAGTGAGGAACATTACCAAAGCAGTTCTTCTTGCTTTGTGAACGGAACCGCCCCCCAAAGGTTTTGAAAAACCCCTGGTGAGAGAACAGTGATAACAGACGTAAAGCTGGACCACTCCCTGTTGCCTTTAAACCATCAGCCACAAATGTATGCCCACACACACAGACACACACTCACAGAACACACAGGAGGAAGTGTTTAGCCTTGCTCGGTCCTGTGTGTGTGTGTCTGTGTGTCCGTGTGCGTCCGTCCACCTGAAACAACCAAGCATGTTCAGACAAAATGACCAATAACAGGGTCAGGAATACTGGTACTGATTTGTGTCAGTAAATGACTGAACATGCATTGCAGTGAAGCTGTTAAATGTCACATCCAGCACAGTAGGTGTTTCATTATGTGGAGATGATTGTTCCAGTAAAGCCATAGGGATGGTAATTGTTGAGATAGTAATAGCAGACGCCTAATGTTGGGGAGGAACTCATGCAGTATAATGAATCAAATAAAACTAATGTGCTTGGATGAGTGTGAGCATTCCTACACAGACAGACACACTGACGCACACACACACACTGACAGACACACACACACACAGTTGGCTGTGCGTTGCAGGGTGTGTGTGTGTGCATGTGTTTGTCTGTGTTTCTGTGTGCGTGTTAGCTGTACTGTGGTCCCTATGGATGAGATCACATCTGGAGGAATGCTCCCCACCACCAGGCCTCTCTATGAATCAGACACCCCAGCCCAGCGCACAACTCCTTTATGTGTCACTGAGACTCTGAGTACTATACTAACAACACCAGCCGATATCATTATTAGTTGCCATTCGTTGAGATACTGTATTGACTCCCGTCAGCTATGTCATTGTAATGTGACATGTCGCAAATGAACGGAATGTGGACAGTGTCACACTATCTGTCGTACTGTGAAACAGTGTGGGATACAGTAGTTCTCACCTCTATTTGGATTAGGTTGTTATAGCTCGGCTATGTCTTTATATCTGTGCCATACAAAACTGCTGAGAATAAAGTAAACTACAATGTAGTCACTATTGGCAACTTGTACAATATGTTATACATGCTGTGCTATGGTGATTTTGATACGATGGTTACGTTCTCCATCTTCAAAAGGCCAGACTTGGAGAAAGGAGATGTTCACTTAAATCCCCCCCCTCATTAAGTAAAACTTAATGAGGAGTTAAAACATCCAGAGTGAAGTACTGTGTCCCTTAATCACAGGTCCTCCAATGTCCACCCTGAAAGAGAGCAGGATGCTTACAGTACACTATGCCTGGCTAATGTGTTAAGTACACTATATATACAAAAGTATGTGGACACCCCTTCAAATTAGTGGATTCGGCTATTTCAGCCACACCTGTTGCTGACAGGTGTATAAAATAGAGCACACCGCCATGCAATCTCCATAGACGAACATTGGCAGTAGAATGGCCTTACTGAAGAGCTCAGTGACTTTCAACGTGGCACCATCACCACCTTTCCAACAAGTCAGTTCATCAAATTTCTGCCCTGCTAGAGCTGCCCCGGTCAAATGTACATTATGTTATTGTGGTAGGCCACACAAACTCACAGAACAGGACTGCCGAGTGCTGACGCGCATAGCGCGTAAAAATGGTCTGTCCTCGGTTGCAACACTCACTACCGAGTTCCAAACTGCCTCTGGAAGCAAAATCAGCACAAGAACTGTTTGTCGGGAGCTTCATGAAATGGGTTTCCATGGCCGAGCAGCCGCACACAAGCCTAAGATCATCATGCGCAATGCCAAGCGTCGGCTGGAGTGGTGTAAAGCTTGCCGCCATTGGACTCTGGAGCAGTGGAAACGCGTTCACTAGAGTGATGACGTATGCTTCACCATCTGGCAGTCCGATGGACGAATCTGGGTTTGGCGGATGCCAGGAGAATGCTACCTGCCGGAATGCATAGTGCCAGCTGTAAAATTTGGTGGAGGAGGAATAATGGTCTGGTGATGTTTTTCATGGTTCGGGCTAGGCCCCTTAGTTCCAGTGAAGGGAAATCTTAACGCTACAGCAGACAATGACATTCTAGACGATTCTGTGCTTCCAACTTTGTGGCAACAGTTTGGGGAAGGCCCTTTCCTGTTTCAGCATGACTGCAAGCCAGGCCTAATCGCCCAACATCAGTGCCCGACCTCACTAGTGCTCTTGTGGCTGAATGGAAGCAAGTCCCCATAGCAATGTTCCAACATCTAGTGGAAAGCCTTCCCAGAAGAGGGGAGGCTGTTATAGCAGCAAAGGGGGGACCAACTCCATATTAATGCCCATGAATTTGGAATGAGATGTTCGACGAGCATGTGTCCACATACTTTTGGTCATGTAGTGTACTTAAGTAAAAATACTGTAAAGTACTACTTGTCATTGTTTTGGGTATCTGTACTTTACTTTACTATTTATGCTTTTGACAACTTTTACTTTTACTCCACTACATTCCTGAAGGAAATATGTACTTTTTACTCTCATACATTTTCCCTGACACCCAAAAGTACATTTCGAATGCTCAGGCAGGATAGCAGTAGTCAAATTCACGCACCTACCAATAGAACATGTTGTCAACCCTACTGCCTCTGATCTGGCGGACGCACTAAACACAAATACTGTGTTTGTATATTATGTCAGTATGAAAAATGTATGCACTCACTAACTGTAAGTCGCTCTGGATAAGAGCGTCTGCTAAATGACTAAAATGTAAATGTAAATGTCTGAGTGTTGGAGTGTGCCCCTGTCTGTTTTACTTAATATAAGGAATTTGATTTATAGCATTTACTTAACTTTTAACTTTTAATCAAGTATGACAATTGAGTACTTGTTCCACCACTGTATTTAAGGACATTTAAAACTAGATACTTTTAGACTTTTACTCAAGTAGTGTTTTACTCTGTGACTTTCACTTTTACTTGAGTCATTTTTTATTAACCTTTACGGGATCGGTGTCCTGTATACGGGACGGTTGAGCTAACGTGCGCCAATGTGATTAGCATGACTGTTGTAAGTAACAGCAAACTTTCCAGGACATGGACATGTCTTATATGGGCAGAAAGCTTAAATTCTTGTTAATCTAACTGCACTGTCCTATTACAGTGTACATGCAGGCATCTGTGTTGGCCAGCTCTCTCCTGGGTCCAAACCTAGGTTCTCCTAAAGCTGATATGGATTTCTGTGTGGTAGGGGCACTGGGAAAGAGCCAGGGAGAAACTAGAAGGCCTGATATTAATTCAAATCAGAGATGGGATCAGTCTGAGCTCTTGCCCCGAGGACGTCGTTCAGTGAATAACAGACTGAAGGCAGTCATTAGCTTGTTATAAATGACGGATGGAACGTTTGAAACTCCTGCTTAATAAACAGTCAGCTCCAACCTATCCTCTGTTTGGATAGGTGCCCGGCCTGGGCCACGGTTTGGTTTCGCTCGATGGAATGATAATTCAGTTCTCATGGAAGGTCTTTATTTTATTAATGTTTTTTTTTAAATTATTATTATATACACTACCAGTCAAAAGTTTGGACACACCTACTCATTCAAGGGTTTTTCTTTATTTTTACAATTTTGCAAGTTGTAGAATAATAGTGAAGACAACAAAACTATGAAATAACACATATGGAATCATGTAGTAACCAAAAAAGTGTTAAACAAATCAAAATATATTTTATATTTGAGATTCATAAAATAGCCACCCTTTGCCTTGATGACAGCTTTGCACACTCTTGGAATTCTCTCAACCAGCTTCACCTGGAATGCTTTTCCAACAGTCTTGAAGGAGTTCCCACATATGCTGAGCACTTGTTGGCTGCTTTTCCTTCACTCTGCCGTCCGACTCATCCCAAATCATCTCAATTGGGTTGAGGTCGGGGGATTGTGGAGGCAAGGTCATCTGATGCAGCACTCCATCACTCTCCTTCTTGGTAAAATAGCCCTTACACAGCCTGGAGGTGTGTTGGGTCATTGTCCTGTTGAAAATCAATTTATAGTCCCACTAAGCCCAAACCAGACGGGATGGCGTATCGCTGCAGAATGCTGTGGTAGCCATGCTGGTTAAGTGTGTCTTGAATTCTAAATAAATCACAGACAGTGTCACCAGCAAAGCACCCCCACACCATAAAACATCCTCCTCCATCCTCTGCTACAACTCCCCTACGCATTGCTTCTTGACACACTGCGCGCTTAACCCGGAAGCCAGACGCACCAATGTAGGGCGGCAGGTAGCTTAGTGGGTAAGAGCGTTGTGCCAGTAACCGAAAGGTCGCTGGTTCTAATCCCCGAGCCGACTAGGTGAAAAATCTGTCGATGTGCCCTTGAGCAAGGCACTTAACCCTAATTGCTCCTGTAAGTCGCTCTGGATAAGAGCGTCTGCTAAATGACTAAAATGTAAATGTAAATGTAATGTGTCAGAGGAAACCCCGTCCAACTGACGACTGAAGTCCGCTTGCAGGCGCCTGCCCCGCCACAAGGAGTCGCTAGAGCACAATGAGACAAGGAAATCCCGGCCGGCCAAACCCTCCCCTAACCCGGACGAAGCTGGGCCAATTGTGGGCCGCCCCATGGGTCTCCCAAACCCGAGGCTGTAGTGGTGCCTCAGCACTGTGATGCAGTGCCTTAGACCGCTGCGCCACTCGGGAGGCCTGGGAGGTCTGTTTTTATTCCCGTCTTCCAAATCAGTTTTTGTTTTACATTTTTGGAGCGTGCTCAAAACACACCAGAATGATTTTGTTTAAGAGTTCACAGATACAAGACACTAATGGCAAACCATTTGTCTTTGTCTTGGAGAAAACTGATCAAGCGTTTTGAACAGTATGTTGTTTCTATTTAACCTCGGTAATGGGATATATCGTCGTTAAGGGCCAATGTGAAGGCATTTGCATTAGATGTTTTCAGATAGACAGTGAATAAGTACAGCACAGTACATCCCCAGTTATGGCTCAAAAGAAGAACACTCATTCCAGATTATCTCAACTCCTTATCTATTTGTTTTACCGTGCATGAACGTTTGACCTCATCTTATGTGTTCCTGTAAGCGCCTTATTAAATGCTGTCCGTGAGCTGTAATTATCATCAGGTATGACATGGGCCATCCACTCTGTGCATGTACTGTATACTCTATGCTATGGGTCCTCTTTTATAGAGCACTCTGTGGACTGGGTGAGAACCGCTGTCTTGTCTCGTGTCTATGACTCCCTCATCAGGAGTGAGTCGCGCGCGTGTGTTTTTAATACCCTGTGCGCTGCTGTCTCCATAGGAGGCAGGGGCCACAGTCAGGACCCTCTTTACAAGCTACCATGTGTTGAGTCCTGAAGCACTCCATCAAACAGTTTGTCAATGACCAGTCAGTCGTGTTTGAAACATCCCCTGGCGAAGGTCTCTATGTCCTCTGTGTGTGACCTGCTGTCACATGCTAGACTAGACTTTATCTGACAGACAACCAGGCGTCTGATACAGGGACATCACCACCCAGTGACCTCACCACCCCATTAAGCCGTTTAACTAGCCAGGATCATTTACCCAGGCTCCTCTGTTCTCTAACCAGCCACAGGTGGACCTCTGACAGCACAGGGGCCCAATTTCGCCTTTGACCCCGTGAGATATGCCACCAATGACGCCTCTCATACCTGAATTAACAGGTTAAGTATGGCTAAACAGGGTGGTGACGTTGGCCCGGCTATGGCCCCCTTGTTTAAGTTAATTTACAGTTGGGGTTTGCATGGGACAAATGGGGGTTGCAGTCTACAGATGAGATCTGCTCTGCTGTGTCCGTTATCTGTTATTCCGCAAAAATGTATTGGATTCTTTCTAGGAGGCATGCTGTGAGCTTCCACTATGCAGGGCCCTGCTGTCACATGAGCTGAGCAAATGTTTTTTAATGTAATAATGGGGAGTGATTTGCAGTGGGCCAGCTGTCTGGGCTCTGGATCAGGAGAGGGAGAGATGAGATCAATGAAGAACCATGTCCGATCAGAGAGGCCTGGGGGCTGGGCAGGAGAGGGGGGCCTCCCTCCCTCTCTCCATGACCCTCGTTGAATGTGAAAGACTTATGAGCATATCCATCATCTCTCTCTTTCTTTCTTTCTCTCCCTCTCTCTCCTCTCCCACAGTGACCGGCACCATGTCTCCAGCTCCATCCCGGTCCCAACAGGAGCCAAGTCTCAGCTCAATGTCTCGGCTGCGTCCGAAGTGGGCTTCCCCACCCACACCAGCTCTCCTGACCGGGGCTTGCTGAGGAAAAGGGCCAGCTCCGAGGCAGACAAGCAGAAGTACAAGGCCTCCCCTCCTCCCAGCTACAACACGACCATGGCCATGGACCAGCCCCAGAGTGCACCGCCCGACCCCTCCCCCAAGCACTTGTCCTCCTCCCTGGACTTTAGCATTGACCTGGCCAAGACTCTGGAGGTTCAGGCACAGGCACCAGTCCTTGGGGAGGGAGAGGGCGATCGAGTGGTAGAGGGAGGTGGAGAAGGAGAGGTAGAAAGTGAGGTAAAGGAGGTTGTGGAGGAGCAAGAGCAACAGCCCTCCAGCACTACTACAGGAGGCTCAGATTCCCTCACTCCGGCTGGGGGCACCACCAGTGAGCAAGTGGAGGAGGTGGCACCCACCAGCGAGCAGTATGCAGACCATACCATGAACGGCTCAGTATTGCCAGGCGAGGGGCTGGCGGGGCCCGCAACAGGGCTAACGTTGACCATGGCATTAAACCCAGAGATGTGCTGCTCGGTGGAGCAGGCAGAGGAGATTATGGGGACTGAGGCAACAGGCCTGGGTTTAGGGATGGGCCTGGGGGATGGGGCCAGGCTGGAGGACTACCCCTGCATCCCTGTGGAGCACGCCGTGGCCGTGGAGTGTGACGAGCAGGTTCTGGGCGAGCTGGACGCCGCCGGCTTTGAGGAGTTCTCCCGCCGCATCTATGCACTAAACGAGAACATGTCCAGCTTCCGCAGGCCGCGCAAGAACACTGAGAAGTGAGGACAGGTTGGGACCTTAGGGGAGGGCTGAGGGGTGAGGACAGGACCGGGCAAGGGTGAGGACAGGACCGGGCAAGGGTGAGGACAGGACCGGGCAGGGGTGAGGACAGGACCGGGCAGGGCAGGGGTGAGGACAGGACCGGGCAGGGGTGAGGACAGGACCGGGCAGGGGGTGAGGACAGGACCGGGCAGGGCAAGGGTGAGGACAGGACCGGGCAGGGCAAGGGTGAGGACAGGACCGGGCAGGGGTGAGGACAGGACCGGGCAGGGGTGAGGACAGGACCGGGCAAGGGTGAGGACAGGACCGGGCAGGGGTGAGGACAGGACCGGGCAGGGGTGAGGACAGGACCGGGCAAGGGTGAGGACAGGACCGGGCAGGGGTGAGGACAGGACCGGGCAGGGGTGAGGACAGGACCGGGCAGGGGTGAGGACAGGACATGAGTCAGGGACATGAACAGAGTGCAGAGGAGGGGGTGGGGGTCAAACAAACATAGGCGCTACAGTATCTGGAATGATGACCAATTTGCACTTCTTCTCGAAAAACATTTCTATAATCCTTTAAATGAAATAAAGCGAATGTTTGTGGTTGAAACGCTTCCCGGGCCTTCTTCTTTCAGGGTGCATGGCAGTGTTGTGAGATGGAGGGAAGGAGAGAGTGTGTGTGTGTGTTTGTGGTAACCACCTCTACACACATAAAATGCATCCTTCCTCCCTTCCTTGAAGTAAGCAGTGATCTAACATGAGTGGGTTCATGAAAGCTATAGTGGAGTCCCTACTTGTACCTGTCCAGTCCTGTTATATCAGTAGTGACTTCAAGGTAAGGAGGAAGGAGAGGTTTATTAGAACAGAGCCAGGGCCTTCAGCATGGCTGACAGAGGAAAGGAGTTACAGCAAAGACCTATCCCACCTTTGACCTCTGTCACCTATTACGAAACCGACCGGTCACTAGGCCACACAGCTTAGACCGTTGGCCCAATCAGATTCTCTGTTACTGTTACACCCTGCACCTCCAGGTCCAACAACCCCACCAGCCATTGGACAGGGCTGCCCTGTCTCTATCCCCAGGGGCCATCACTGTTCTGTTCTGGTTGAGGACGAGAAAAGAAAAGAGAGGAGCGAGGCAGGCAGGCTTGAGCTCATGGCACATGGCAGGGATACAGTGCAATTTTTCTGTCTTTCTCCTCCATACCTGCTTTCTTCTTTTTTTAACTATTTTAATAAGCAGCATTAATATAAGTATTCATATGAAGTCCAATACTTCAGATATTATTCAATAGACCAAAACATTAATGATGTGTACTGTATGCTGTTGAAATGTTTCACTCAGGTCCTACATGTTAATGACACATAATTACCTTTTACATTTTAGTCCTCTTATCTGTTTTGTCCTCTTTCATTTTCTTACATTTCTCTGTTGAACTACTTTTTGTTTTCGTGCACTGGTGTCCATTGGCAACTATGTGCGTTATTTATGTCGCTCACTGAATTAGTTTGTTTTAAAGGAAATCATGGTTTCTTTTTTCCCCTCATGGGCAGTCAGTCAGTCAGTGATATTGTCAAACCTGGGCTAAAATCTTTCAAATACTTACATACATTTGGATCTAACTGTGTCCCCTGTGTATTGCTCTGGAAAGGACCACAGAGTTCCCTGTAGACAGAAGCTGATATGGTCAATTGATTTGCATACTGCCCAACCGTATACAACAAAGATGGACTCGCAACAAGCCCCCTAAAAACATCCCAAAATTTTTTGGGGGTATTATGATCAAATACTGTGGTGGATGACTGTTGAAATGTATTGTATTTAAGATGAGAGATTGAACCATTGTAGTTCATTTCCATAAAATGCTATACAGCATGTGACCTTGTACATATACTTTTGTATGGAGAGTGTTTTATTATTAAAGTATGTAGCCCCCTTTACACTGTGGTCTACCTGTGTTTGTTTCGGAGGTATGTGTGCGTATGCCTTTTATTTCACCTTTATTTATCCAGCTTAGGCTCGTTGTAATCTCTCGTAGACAGGTGCACGTAACATAACTGGTATTGTAGCATCTGTCAACAGACTGTGGGATGGGACGACTTACGAATAACTTTGTTCTGGTGCGCAGATTCTTTTGGACAAATCACTATTTCTCAGGTGTTTGCATCTTTTGAATTTCAACTGATCTGATTGGTCAAAAGCCCAATTAGTGGAAAAACTATCAGAATTGGGCTGCCCGTTGAAATCCAATCTATTTTGTATGAGAGACCAATGCATGTGTGCATGCACGTGTGTGAGAGTGCATTATGTAAACGGCCATATTGAGTCAGGGATGGTGTGTTTGTGAGTGTATGTATGTTTGATTGAGTGTAAATTAATGAGTGAGGTGTAGTTCTGTCAGCAGGATAATTGTGCAGTCAGGCCAGGCAATCCAGTCCAGCCCCTGTCCTCTGGCTCCCCCTCAGTCCCCCTTCTGGATCACACACGCACACCTCATTAGCTAAAATTCAAACTGCAAACACTCTCACTTGTTCTAAACGAAAGACTACTCAATCTGCTTCATAGATTAAATTTTTCTTAATTTCAGTTTATTTAATTGATAGCGGTTGGTTGCAGCTTAGCCAGCAGATCCGACACCTTGTGCTTGCTTACAGCTGCACTACAGGGTCGGACAGGCAGTTTGCCACAGCATCAATTTATGAATGGCACTAGAACTTGCGTTGAACAACAAAGTATAGTTAGCCAATCAGGGTCTGTGCGGACTACGTGTCACGCTGTGGAAATGTCCAAATAAAATTCCAGTATGGGGAATGGCCCAAACTATTAATGCTCGTCTGAAGTACAGTAATTCATTGGTAATCCATGTCATTGTTGTGAAGGGTGCAGTAACTAAGACAATAAACAGCCACACACTAGAACATTGTTGTTGTCTTTGAATAATTGATTTCTTTGTTGGAGCTCCAAAAACATAACTGGACTCTGTAGCAACATATGAGGTTGCAGGCACATACTCAAATACACTGACGCATACTTATATATACTTGAAAGTGTTTTTCTCTTGTCTCCGTCAAGACAGTAGAATTAATCATTACAACATATGCTTACATTAAAATGTACTCCGGAACTAGTGGGAGGGAATTAAAATGCCACTGAATCATTTTGAATGAATAGGGACCCTTTGCTGAGGTTAGGGCCCACAGCAAAGCTCACCCCCGGCACCCTGACTTGAGCTACTCCCCTCATGGGCGCAAGCACAGGGGACCTGCTTACTGGAAAAACAGGACTCAGGCAAGTCTTCATACTGTACTACTGCATAGCAATGTTATGAATTTGTCACTGTGAATTTGTTTGCTATTGTGTGTACTGTTTTTGTCCTTTAGAAATGCCTTTTAAACATGAATGACTGTGATATTGATAGTGATTCAAAATGTTTGCTAAGACGATCCAGTTATGTTTTTGGAGCTCCAGCAAAGAAAGAAACTATTAAAAGACAACAACAAAAATGTTCTAGTGGGTGGCTGTTTATTGCCTTAGTTACTGCACCCTTGACAACAATGACATGGATTACCAATGAATTACTGTACTTCAGACGAGCATCCATAGTTTTGGCAGTTTAACATATACTAAGCCATTCCCCACACTGGACTTTTATTCAGACATTTCCACAGCGCGACGACTTAGTCCGCATGGAACCTGATTGGCTGACTATTCTTTGTTGATCAACGAACGTTCTAGTGCCATTCTAAAATGGTTGCTGTGGCTTTTGCTACCCAGCATGAGGACAAAAATGGCAGTTTTCTGAAAAAACTAGCAGTCGTTCAATCTTCTCGGTGTAACAGTTGGGATAATGGGACAATACGGAGTACAACGCCATTTCTTATCTCTGGATTGAGGTACGTTTTTCAAGCCATATCTTGCGCCTCCTCCACAGTGTCTTAATTTAAGCAAACGACCTGTCCGACCCTGTAGTGCAGCTGTAAGCAAGTATAAGGTTTTGGATCTGCTGGTTAGTTGCAGCTGTGAGGTGAAGAGATGACCAATGAGCACCTTAAATTGCAACCATTCCAGCCAAACATCGCACGGCATAAAGGAAATCAGTGTTTGTCCTATCCATAGCTGACATGCATTCATAATGGTGCCATCAAAGTATTTTTAAGAAGGAAAGGAAAATACAATGGTCACGTAAGAACTCAACTGATATTCCTTCACCCCATTAAATGGTTGTGTGGAGGCAGGGGCTTTCAGGTTCAGCGGTCTTGTCCTTAGAAAGCTTTTCATCTGTAATTGAGTTAAATGACCAGAGAGGAGGAGACAAGGAGAGGGCTTGTTGTTTTACAGACACTGCACTGGTGAGGTGCATTAAGACCTCAGGCAGTTTTATATTCCTCTCAAATCTATCTACTATATCTCTATGATTTGGTTAACAATTCAAGACATGACTTCATAATGAAACATTATACCTCTACCCCACCGTCCTTGTCTCTATTCTATATTTAGTTTTAAGGCTCTTACGGAACTTACTTAAATCTCTTTGTTCCTTTTAAGAAACGAGACGACAATGAGTTCCCTCCATTTTGTACCAAGTCATGTCCCTGTCCTATTCTGAGGTTATCCAGCCAGTTGTGCCATGCACTTTTATTCTGCTCCACCCTGACAGACAGCATGGCTCGGGCAACAAATATGTCCTCTTGTCATCTTCTGTGTGATATTATGACAACATGTCCTTTTCAAGAGTTACATGACTGACATTGTTTTGCAATGAATCTATCCTGCCTGTTTGAGGCCCTTGGTTACCACTGTAGGAAAATAACCCAAATAACCTTAGTAACCTAATAACACAACTTAAAAGAGCTGCATTGGTTTGCTCAAATTGGGTTACAAACCACTGGACTACAGTTCATAGAAGGAAATCAGTCAATTTAAATAAATAAATAATGCCCTAATCTATGGATTTCACAACTGGACAGGGGCGCATCCATGGGTGGGCTTGGCAGGGCATAGGCCCACCCACTTGGGAG